CCCTCAGCACTTGGGTATTCCCTAGCATTTCTGAGACACTAYCAAGTGGATCTCTGAGCTATGCAAATAATTGTTTTCTGAGTTTAAAATTTAAGTTCAAAGGACGTCAGTTTGGAACAAGCATTTGGCCACTAAGCAGACATTCACAACTTGATTTTAACCAATACTTTAGTAGAAGATACTCACTTTATGCTGTGATCCTTTCTGAAAAATACGAAAAAGTTACTCATAGAGTTGTCATCTCGTAACTCCTAAGCAGAGAGATTAGATTCATGTCTATTTTTCTGTATAAAAGACAAAATTGCAATTCACTTTCATTTATAGAATTTTCTAAAGTAGTTCATGTACCCACTGAAATATTAGTATGGCCATCCCTCCTTTGATGATTTTACCTTTACACTCTACCATGGGAGCTCATGCAAATAATGACTTACAGAAGTGAAGGCCTTACGTTCCATGCTGGAACGCTTTAGTCAACTCCACACAAGCAAAAGCGTTTTTTCTTACTTTCCTAAAAGTAATATTTCTTTAAAAAAATAGAATTGATACATTAACAATTATACACATATATAAAGTTTTTTTATATGATTTATAGAATTACTTACTGTAGCAAGCATTACTGAGTAAATTAAAATTGTTTATTAATGCAGTTTATCTCTTTTTAGGTATTTTCCGTATACTTCTAGCAGGAAAAAAATCATCCAGTGATAAGACTGAGAAGAGAGAAACTGAAAGATGGTAGATTTAGATTAGATGTTAGGAATAATTTCTTTACTGTGAGAATGTCGAGACCCTGGCACAGRTTATCCAGAGAAGCTATGGATGTCCCATCCCTTCAAGTGTTCAAGACCAGACTGGATGGGGTCCTGAGCAACCTGTCCCTGCCTAATGATYAYTWAGGTGCCTTCCAACCCAAACCATAGCATCMAATAATGGTTTGGTTCTGTGAAAAAGAACTTGCAATTAAACACATTCAGAAATGACCTGAGATMCTGTTWCACTCAACACRATGTTGCTGATGCTGATAGGTATTGTGGGTTTCAGAAATGAATTGAAATTTTGCATGCATTAGTAATTTCATCCCCAGTATATGACAGTGTCCTATGGGGAAGTACCCGAAGGACATGGGCCTTCCTGGTTCTGAGCATCAGCCAATTACAGATTGGCTTTGCTTAAAAAGAAACTCGCTAAGRAGCTTGCACCACTACCTGCAATTTGTCCTGCAACTGTTCAGTAAAAGTTTCTTTTCTATCTTCTGTAGCATCACCTACTGCCTGTGGTCAGAGACGAGATACCAAATCAGCTGGATTGCTGATCTGATCTAGCATAAGAAATGCAACACTGACTAGTCTAAATAAAGGCTCATCAAGCCAAATCCATCGATTTCACCTGATTTCAGGTTGCAAATGTGCAAGTAGAAAGCATCACATGCTTGCCATCCATCTGGTTCTGAGTCACTGACAAATTTGTGAATCCTTCAGTGAATCTGTGGTGAATCCTTGTGCTGCTCAGTTGCTGCTTCCCTTCAGTGTACAAGACATGCTGTGGAGCAGCCCTTGTCTGCTCAGACTTCTGTTGTCCTTTCTGATGTCAGGAACAGCAGAGGGTACAGCTCTCCTGGGAGAACAGAGTCCCAGCATCATGGTTACCCAGATGTTCACTTTTAGCATGTTTAGTTCACACCAGCCTGGAAGATGCAAATCTTTTCTCTAGCCCTTGGCCAGATCCCGCTGGCAGTGGCTGTTGCTCACACAACCCATCAAGGCTGTGTCTGAGTGTGTGATCCTTTTGCTTGGTGAGCACAACATGGGGCAGTTGTTTAGCATATTGGATCTTTCCAGCCAACTGTTCTTCTTACTGCTTTTACAAAACCGTGGAGTGAAGGAAAAACATTGGTCTTGTTTGTGATATTTTTGGTTTGTTATAGTTTTTGGGCTTTATTTTGGTACAAGCACTCTTCTCATCAGTTTGTTATTTTTCAGATAAAGTTATAATTTCTCAGCTCTCAGCTGCTGGCTTTTGRATAAGGCATGTCCATGTGGAAAGAAATTACTCTAGTTTTATAAAGGAACTACATATATAAAGCTAACTGTATTTTCTATGAATGTTAAAGATGCTGAATGAAATGTGGCAAACTACTGYAAAGCTGATAAATAATGCAGTTAATCACAGCCAGTCAGGCCCAGGTTTAATGCCCAGCATTGAGAGAAGCATTTGAGATATTAGGATAAGTTTTGCCAAGCGTCATGGCCATAACAGCCTTGATGCCATTAGAATCACATCTTTTCTGCAGAATCCTACAAGTAATTTTTTCAAAATGGGACAGAAGCACAGTAAGGTAGTCTGCAAYACGCTTAGGGTAGGCCCAACCTGGAAAGATGAAATACTGCCCTGAAGAAGCCAGTGAAAGTTTTGTTATTGATTCCAGAGCAGCCAGGGATTCCCCCAGGTCAGCTAGAGTAAATATGCCTAAAGAAAGGGCTCRTAATTTAATCACTGAAGACTAAAATTGCAGCCTTGAAATCCCCTGCTTAGCCATTACCCATCGCTGAAAATGAGTGATCTCTGCAAGGGATTTGTTAAATGCTCACACTGCCTGAAATTAGGCTTCTGAGCACACCCAAAGCTGTCCCTTCCACTGCTGAGCATCCCAGCACATACCATAGAGCCCGATCAGCCCAGTGCACCASGCACATGGCACACTTGGCACTGAGCTGCTGCAGTGACATCCAGAGCCTGCATGGCCTAAGGCAGTGGGTTCAGAAAGAAAACATTGCCACAGTTCTGTCGTGGACTAACTGCTTAAAGTGTCTGGATTTCATGGGAGAGCACACCCCACCTTACAGAGGAGAGCACAAACCATTACCTGGCCAGCAGATCCCCTGGGCAACTAAAGGCAGCAGCATCGTTCCTGCTGCAGAGCAGGCATGGACAGGACTCCTGTACACCCTACTCATGTAGCCTTCCTTTTGGGGAAGGCCTTTGGTCTAGTTTATGGAGGGAACAAAGCAAATGACAGTTCTTAGGAAGCACTGTCATCTGTCAGAAACTTCAAATGTCTGGCAAGAGCCATAAATGACAAAACTTCTTGACAGTAACTAGTGTGCACTGAAGGTGCTGCACAGAAAAACTGACATGGACCCATTGTTCATCATCTGGTCATGGTATTGCCAGTAGGTCCAGCCACAGAGAGTGTGAATCCCCACATGTTCCATACCTATGTATTTTAGTCCCACAATCTCCAGTCAGAAGGATGGGAGCCCTTACACACACATGTATCTTCAGGGGAGGGTTTCTGGCATTGCACACTGGGCTGGCAGTGRCACCTCCTTCCAGGTGGAGCTTCATTCACACGTGATGAATGTGTGTCTTAACTGAGCCCATTCATTTGAGGTGACTCCTGCTCAGCATATTGTCTCTCTTAGATCCCATGCTGATGCCCTAATGCTGTGTTTGGGYCTCAGCACCTCAGGCAGGGGAGTAGATTTGGTCTGGGCAGGCCAGAAAACCCAAACATCAGATGCTGATGCACCCCCACCTTAAGACACTGAAACCTTTTGAAATCTGGCCCGCAGAGGCTGTAGAATTCCGGGTGTTTACACCCACCAAAGTGGGTTTTTTTTTTTTTTGTGCTTCCTTTTCTTTAAATTGACAAAATAGATCAAAGTAATTTTAAAGAATATAGAAGGCAAAAGCAATAGAAAAGCAAACCAGTAAGTTTCCAAACAATGCAAACTGAAATACCACAAATACTGCTTGGGGAAGCGGGCCCATTGTTACAGCTGTCACAGCCAAGCCAGAGGCTTCAGCAGAGCTGAAAACCAATGTTTCTCTGTTGATGAACTGATATTGCCAATATTTATTAGCTCAGAGTACAAAGATGGGTTTGGCATCTATACGTTCACTGCAAGATTACTGTCTGGGGAACTGTGAGGAAGGTGAGGCCAGATTCTGACTCCACTTTTATGTATTTAGCTACAGTAAAGGGGTTGTATTCAAATAACTTTCTTCCTAATTTTACAGAGCATAATTTACTAATATCACTATTTTAGGAATGATTTTAAAAACTAGACATTTTATTACAAATGGTACTAAGTCTTCCACACTTCATCCTTTGAGTCAATGTACTGGGACAGGGTTTCCAGCATCTTCAATCTATCAGGACAGGAGTGACAATTGTAGTGATTTAGCAAGGTAATAAAATGAAATTATACCAGCAATTATTTGTGGACCCAGTGTGCTCTCCTAGCTGCCTGCAGCTTGCTCTTCCCAGTTCTTTCTGCACAGTCCAAGAAGAGGTCTGAATAGGTTCTCAGCTTTCAGCTGATGTTCTGTCAAAATTAGTATTCAGAGACTGCAGCTTGTAGCAAGCACATTTATAGTCATATGAGAAGTGCGTGGTTTTATGGGAGCTCTCTATTTGGAATTGTGTCTGTCTTCAAAGACAYGTACATAGCACAAAAGATGAAAATGAAACAACTCTACTGTTTCCTTCTTGCTAACCTGGGTTCACCTGTGTGAGATAAGTTTAACCCTTTTGTGAATGTTAAGAGTGCTGAATGCCATATGTCATAAAGGAACAGGAAACTACACTCTGTAAGAATAACTCAAACCTTTGCACTTCAGCTTTGTGCTCTCAGTGATTGCAGCACTTTGATTTGGAAGGGAAAAAAAAATCTATCAGTTGCCAGTATCTTTCTGACCTACCCGACTTTGTACTAAGTGAACTTGAAGTTCTACAAGGAAGGTGCTAAACATGCTAAGCAGCTTTTTGTGGGTTAAAATTTTGACCATAGGCTGGTTAATTTTCGCTTTCATGCACGGAGAAAAAAAAAATTAAATCCTTGGATCTGTGAGGTGTCCAGTTTCTGTAGAGAAGAAAGTGTTACTTCCCCTTTAAGCCTGGAGCCGTTCGTGTGTGTGAGTGTGCGGTCTGTGTGTGTGAGTGTGTGTGTGTGTCTCCTCCTCTTTGAGTGACACAGCACTTAGATATGCCTATCAGTAACTTAAACCCCACAAACTCCACCTTCTAAGTGAGGAAGCTGTGGGTTGATGGAAATGTAGTGAGCAGATCGAGACAGACAGTGAATCATTAGCAAACTGCAACGCCAGGATGAACTTGTCTGGAACCTAAAAGGAGAAAACAGGCTGCGAGTCCTCTGCGGCGCTGGGTTTGCTCAATACAGCCAAAGTGGATCTAAAAGCCGGTTGATCCCCAGTCCAAGATGCTGCTGGTTTCCCAGCGGGTAGAAGCACCACGGATGGAGCCACATATTCCAGTAAGTAGCATTTGAAATCGATATGGGCTGGGAAAGTAGGAGCTGGTTTAAAAGGACTTAAACACCCTCGGAACAGTTGCTCGCCGGACTCGGCACGGTCGCAAGCCAGGCTGGAAAGTTTGCAGGGGCGGTTCAAGAAAGTGCCCACCTTGGGCTTCTCTGCCCGCGGGTCCCGTGTGCCGGGGCTGCCGGAGGGAAGGGAACACAAACTTGAGGGGGAAATTTCGCCCTCCGTTCTGGTCAGAGCTGAGGCCGGACCACGGAGAGGTGGACAGGAGGGAGGGGGTCCGTGGGTTTTAAAATGGTGGTGAAGAAGGTGATTTGCGGTGCGGTGCGGTCCCGGGCAAGGCGGCGGGGCAGCCAGTGCGCGGCGGCGGGGGACGCTCCGTGGATTTCCGTGTCATTGCTCGGGTGGTGACGCGCTGGGCTGCGGGAAGAGGCGGTGGATGCTGCGGGAAGAGGCGGTGGATGCTGTCGGGGGCGAGCGGGATCGGGGACCCGCCGGTGCGCCCGACGCCGCCAGCCCGCGGGTTCCCGTGTCAGTGCGGCCGGGCCGGCTCAGCCATCGTCCGGGGATTTCCAGCTAAACTTGGATCAGACAGGCACAGGAGGATAAACCCGTCATCGCCCGGGGACTCCGCCGGGAGGGTGTCACGCGTGGAGGGGCTAGCGCTGGTCCCTCTAGTATCATTTTTTTAATAACTCCTGGTATTTGTGTTGGCAGCCGCGTGCCGGGTTATTTTGGGAGCCTGAAGCGCACGTTCGATAGGCAGGATTGCGAACAAAAGGCTCGGCCGAGCCCCGAAGGAGCCGTGGGTGATTCTGACGGGAGCGTGGAGCGCGGCGCTGAGCCCCGAGCCGCGGGAACAGCCCCGAGTGCGGGCGCTGCTGCCGGCGCGGCGCCTCCGCCGCTCGCTGCCGGACCGTCCGTGAGCTCGGAGCACAACGCGTGAACAAAACGCGTGCTGACTCACGCTTTAAACTGTTTTGGTTTCTCATGCTGTGATTAAGATCGGGGTTCAGAGCAATGGCAGGGTAAACACGGCGCTCGCTGGCTCGGTCCCACGTTCCCCCCCAGGCGGGGGCTGCCCCTCTCCCCCGTCAATAGCCGGTCGCTCCTCCCGGTCCCTCCTCCGCCGCCTCTCCCGGCCTGTTGCTCGGCCCGGGGGAGCGCCGGGGCCGGGGGCACCGCGGCTTTTGTTCGTCTCTGGCTGGAGGGGGGTTGTCACCAGGGTGACTCGGAGGGATCCCGGGGAGAACGGCCGTTTCTGGGAAGAAAACGGGCTTTGGTTTCCTTTCACACCGCCCGCCC